TTTTCAATATTTTTAATATTTTTTTAAAAATATATTTTAATATTTTTTTTAATTAACTCCTTAATATATATGGACTATACATAAAACAAGGCCAAGCGCAGCAATTAATTCCGAAGATTTATTATTATTATTATTATTATTAATTATTCATAATCTCACGTCGCTCCCGAGATGTAATCACGTGTACTATGCATTCTTATGTTTGTAATCAGGTAATCATCCATGTGAAGCTGTTCTAACAAATGTGGCATACTCGTCTGGGAATGGGAGTTGGGGCGATACTCATTTCAACAAATGGTAATCAAAGCCTTACGTATTATTGCAAAACGATGTGCAGCTAATCACTAGAAATACACATACTAAAATATTTCGTTAATTATTTTTCTCAGATCTGTCACCATTCCAGAACTAAATGACAGCAAATACATCGGCATGTCTCTCTACAACGTCACTATTCTTTGTGTCATTGGAGTGCCGATCAACACCTTCCTTCGTGACCAGGTGACTGTCGCCTACAGTCTAGCGGTCTGTTTCATTATATTCGGAACCACCATAACATTATGTCTTGTCTTCTTACCAAAGGTACATACGTGCGTTATTGTATGAGCGATTTTTGGAATAGAAATGTGTCGCGGCACAAAAGTCGATCAAAAAATCGACTCTGAATGAGATAAAGAGAAATTTGGTTAAGTATAAATAAGATTCTGTGTGGAATTGTTTTTTCCTTAATTTCAGGTCACATCGAAATTCTCCAGCTACCAGCTATCTCGTATATTTCAAACAGGTTACCCCTAACTGTGCAACAATCTCTCAATATAAAACAATCAGTCGTGATTTTAATGTATTGCGAGTCGGATGCCAGTTCAGCCATCACTTTGTCTGTCAATGTACAAACGTCGAATTTCGTTAACTGTTTAGCTTTTGATATGCGTATCCAAGACCGCTTTTTAGGAGCAACGGTTTTAGCGCGTACGTATGCGCATGAATGTCAATACATCTTAGATGCAAATGGCCACCGAGGTCTCGTTGAGAGCGAGAAGAACTTGTTTGTTTGTTTTCCCAATGTTTGTTTATTCTCTCCCGTGACGATCTATACGGCCATTTTCATAATGTGTATAACCTGTGGCATTCTATATTGCAGGTGATTGCGCTAAGGATTAACCCAATAGACAGCAGGGTTGTAATCACAACAATGATAGGAGGAAATAATGGTGTCAAGAAAGTATCACCGGAAGGTTCTGATTTGAATAATAAATTGAAAGAAAAGGAAGCCCTGATTGAAACTCTCAAAAGCACATTAGAAGACGTAATTATTATTCTATTCTATTCTATTCTATTCTATTCTATTCTATTCTATTCTATTCTATTCTATTCTATTCTATTCTATTCCAGTAAGAAATCTAAACTATTTTGCGATGCAAAAAAACAAACAAAAACAAAATAGCTGAGCATTTTGTTTATCATTTTCAGCAATCCAAATCTATATATCATTGTTTCGTTGCATCAGTCTCTAAAAGTTGTGAATAATAACCACAAACTATGAAAGTTATGCTACTTTTGATTTCTTACTGGAATAGAACGTTATGAGGCACGGCGATCGAATTGATGTCAGCTCGGGCACCAGTTGATATGTCATTTTCCCATGGGAACTTTTAACTAGTTTCTCTGGCCCTAGTATGTCAATACAGTACACTACGTGATACGGTTATCACAACCCAGGGAACAGTATGAACAAGTGATGCGTTATAATACAATATAGCTGATTGTAATAAACTAGATGGTAGACGTTTCAAAAAAAAATAATTGAACTGTACATTAAAAATCATCACAAAATAAAACCCAAATGTTTTTGTTATTCCTCTCTATTCAATTAAAGCGTATGCTGATTAAAATTGTCAAATAGAATATAAAATATAAAATAATACATAAACATTTTGGCAGGAAAAATCATTATATTGAGTATATTAAATATAACAAATTGATGTGTTTTTTTTCTCTCTCATTTCAGAAAGACGAGGAGATCGCCGATTTACAGGCACAGCTTCAAAAAGCTAAATCAATGTGGCAAGAACAATCAATGAGTTCATCTATTGTGACAGTAGGAAAGTCGTCACCTGAGCCACGGGAAAATGGTGAATGCGAACAACAGCTATGAACATTAAGTTTCAAGAAGTAAAATCAACATCATATGATTCAGATCATGAGCATGTCATTCGAGAAATATGATTGAAGTTGAATAGGAATGTTATCTCAGATTTCCAAATTGTAGCTTTGAAAGATACTCGATATCAAATGAATTGGAAATATGTTATTGTTCAAGATGAGTATCTCAAAAAGGAGTATGTTCTCACGCTTATCGTGTCGACAGATATTTAGACACGCTTCAGGATCGGATATCCCACACTTTTATATTATGTATCAACATTATCGTTTATATACTCGCTATTGATGTTGTCTATATTTTTAATACATCGAAATGTACATATGTTGTATTCGATGTACGACATTACAAATGAAAAACTAAACGTCACGGCGATGTGGATCTCGCTATTTGAATACAAATTATGTATTTCACAATAATGTCTAAGGTCGTTCACCCAATACTTCCTAAATGAGTCATTTTTTCATATCAATATTTATACTCACTATACCCGCATGTTTAGTACTGTAATATCCTACGTGACCATATCCGAAGTGATGTACAAAACGGTTTACAGACCTTCAAGTAATCATAGCACAGATTCTTAACTTTATTGATGTCGTGTCTCGTAATTGTGTCGTGCAAAACTAATGAAACGAATTAAACAGCTCTGGTATGTAAGTACTGTTAACTCACTGCGTCTTGTTTCATTACCAGCAACTGCACACTGAAATGTAACTGTGGCGCAATTCGCAACACATGGTCATGAATTTAAATCTCGCGTGTTGTGCGTTTATACGTGATTTGCCTCTACTGACATTCGTTCCACTCAGATGTTTGCCACTCCCGGTGGTCATGGGTCTTCAGATAACATGCTTTGCTTAATACATGTTTCCGCATAATTTCTGTAAATTTTACTTTTATTAGATTCAGTAGTTTTGACTTTACTTCAAAAATGACTTTGTATTCGAATATTTCACATATTGGGTGCTTAATTATACATACAATGTACTTCATTCAGAAGAGTGTCTGTTAAGCTTTTACTAACAATCAAAGATAAGTATCATTTGAGTAGGTGTAATGTCTCATAAAATAAAATCCACATAGAAATAATATGCATTAATGTGCTTTTATGGCCCACATTTTGGTAAGGTTTATGTGAAAAAACACAGTCCAAGATTGATTTTGGTTTATGATATTGAAAATATTCCACAATAAACAGAGCTGAAACTTGTTTCCACGTGTGACGTGTTTTAGGTGACACGACGATTCAAAATTACCAATTTTCGATGAATTACTCTACAGGGAACATGACACTGATAAAGCTAATACTAATGCTGTTCCTATCTCGCCTTCTATATTAGTTGCTTCGTGTATAAAGTGTACAAAAGAATAATCAAATTAACACTTTTTAACATAGAATACCAGGAACATAGTAAAACCATGTTTATGCGAAGTATCCTATGTCTAAATCACAGGGGATTGACGATCTATTCGTCTCAATGCGTGGACCTCTATGGGGCCGAGCGACTATGTCCCGGTACAGAACCTTGCCCTTGCTCAAAATAATAGAAATTATGGAATTAAAACAGTTTAGCAATGTAAAGCAAGCATATGTTATTAAATTTAATCATCACGCTCCGAAACCACGGAAATCACTAATACTTGTTCCCGGCCGATCAGCTTGCACTATAGATATACGACAAGGGAGGAAACAAAATGTGCACACATTTTTCTAGCTGCCGAAAATCATACCTCAAAATACAAAATACCTTGTCCAAACCAGTGTTTGGTTCGATCCAGGTCATTGTGGTACGCTTTACCCGGGATCGATCCTGAGATGTGCAAATGATATCGAGTGTGCCAGTTGTTATGAGCTTTGTGATCATTATTCTCAATGTAGTGATGGAAGCGACGAGTGGTATGGTCCTTATTAACAATGCATATATTTAAATAAAATCAAAATGTGTGCAATATTAATGTAATAAAACATGCATTCAGTATATTTGCTGCATTTGCCTAATTATTTCGGTTTGTGTTTCTATTCGAACAAATGAACATCTGGTTGCAAAACAATTGAAGGGGCATTGATATGCAACACTGGAAGATGTTTTACATGACATTGTGTGGGACAAAATGCAATGCTAAAAAAGAAACTGCTCATCTGCTCAAAGTGCTCATCAATACAATCATATGTTACACAACACTTACAAGAACAGAAGACGACCCAGTCAGCCAATGCGGGGTGTGGGATGTCATGCTCAAACACAAAACGACCGACTACAGATGTAGAAGCTAAGATAACAATATAGCCATTTGTTTGTAGTATTTTGTATACTAGTCCAATGAGTGCTTCAACAAATGCAATTCCTATTTTGTTCTACTGTAAATCAGCATCAACTTCAAATTCAGATTTCTGTAGCAGGTTTCATAGGTTTGATTTAAAAAAAAATACTACCTGAAAGTACCAGAAATATTGAATCGCTCAGTTCAGATAACTATATCGTAAATTGTTAGATATTATCGCAAATTTAGGATATGTAGTGTTAGTTAAAGGACATCTACGATAACGCAAACAATTCGGGGTCGAGGTTCTAGTAAATGTCCGAGGTCATAAGATTTTTCAACAAAACAATATTCTACTTTTACAGCATAGAACTATAAACCTAAATGACAGAATTGAAAATAGAAATAGCTGAAAACGTACAATAATTGGGAATGCTATTTGACATATTTAGACGACATAGAATGTTGTGTGCATAAAGTATATATAAGCCTTAGGTCAAGACAAAATTATGAAACTTGGGTCAGTAGCAGTTTGTGAATATATGTGATTACGAGCTCTTGTGTTTGGAGACTCAGGGTTAAAATGTTCCGTTATTGAAATTGCTTGAATATATAAAATCTTTGAATACTATTTTAGAGAGCTTGTTAGAGGTAAAAAATACAATGCTAACTGAGTTTTTGGAAGGTTGTTATGTGATGAATCTCTGAGTAATTGAAAAAAAACATACACTCATCCATCCCTCTCTCACTTGCCTTTGGTATGGGCACTATGTTTTGAATGTGGAAGAAAAAAGTGACATGGAAGTAAATGACATAGAAAGTAAAATGTTTTTAAATGGGTTGTCAATTCCTGGTTCATTCAAAACAAACATACAGATGTAAGCTCAAACCCGAGCATGCTACAGGGTCTGTCTGTCATATAGAAACGTCACTGTCTATCACTTCGCCCGTTAACCATTCACCACAAGTTCGTGATGAAAATCTAGTACATGTACTAAGTAGTGTATATCTTAGTGCAGACTATGAAAAGATTCTAAACATAAAATACCGTATTGTGATCTGAATGGTGGGCACCAAGATTTCATCAAAAAAAATCCTTTTTCTTCATTGATAACATGTTATATTAGCAAGAGTATTAAAATGCAGAACCCAATACCCACCCAGTAAGATTCCTGATAAACTTCATGTAGAACCCAACTAAAAAGATGACCCAATCTTAGAGCTCAAACTCAATTGGTCGAGGAGCTTTCCTGCTAAATCCATACGATGAGACATGGACACTCTCCAATCATTTGGTTAAAGCAAAAAGATAATATCAGTCAAACAACACGTAAAGATGATGCTTTCAATTACGCTAATTATAACATAGCTTTTAACGATATACATATATACTTGAGGGAAAGATAGTTTAGAAGTTCTATTCACAACAAACATGCATGATGGTTATATGTTGTATTGTGGTTGGCTGCAGTAATACCTTTAGCCACGGTAAAGTATTTGCATGTTTCCAGTCGTCCGAAGGTGCAACGTCAGTGGACGAAAGCCGTGAAGGCAACGAGGAAACGTTAGGGTGGACATGCTCGTCACATCGCCAAAAACATAAACGTGGCGCAATACCTAAACGTTTTCAAGAACAAACCTATGTTCACTGCGACAAATTTCAGAACAAAGAAAAAGTGTTTCAAATGATTTGACATTTTTGCAATCCTGAGTATTGCTTTATTGAGACCATTTAGTTTGTTTTATGTAAAAGGTAGCAATAATTTTGATAGTGACGCGAAAATCATCGAATCGTCGGTTAAATTACGCAGCTCTTACACACTGCTGATTGTTTTCGCTTGCTAAAAGTTTCTGAATTGTTTGGGGATTGGTGTTGAATGACGACTTCACACCTCTCTGATCTGCCTTGCAGCTGGATCTGCGTAATGATATATGAAATCTGTTCGAGTTACTGAATTCAGACGTTCAACAAAACTAAATATATAGGTTGCCTGTAACTCGAAGTTACACTAAAGTGTCGATTAGAAGAGTGATTTTTTTTTGCTGTGTGTGTGTGTGTTTTGATAAATTAATGATTGTCCCACAATCTAATGGAAATCATAAATATGAATATTCACTTGTTAGGGCCGGTGACTCCTTCACCTAATTTGCAGTTTGGCAATGTCCCAGTTTGTACTCATTGATCCACGCAAAAGTCAAAGTCACAATCTTTGTCTAAATGATACACATACCTCACGCTTGAATTGCGTGACGACCATCGCCATTTACCGACTGGTCGCAATGAATGATTATTAATATTTGTTGGTGTAATTGCGATACTTTGTAATTATCGCTTATTGATAAATCGGTTTTCAACAAACTACGGCCTATGTATTTCCTATTATTCATAGCATGACTAGCAGGACCAGACAAATCATCACTTCACTAGTCTTTTAATTATATTAAATACGACTACACTTGACTTTGAGATGCAAAATGTTATTCACTATAATGGTGTTCATAATGGTGTTCCACTATACATCACGAGTATTTTACATTATTACACTTGTGTTATTATGTCCCAACGTGTTCATATTGACATGACTATATTAAACCATTCTACTAGTGTCTACATGAAAATATAAGCCAGTACACGTGATTTATATGAAAAAAAGGAATCCTATTTACTGTATTCAATGGACAGAGTAAAGTTTCCAGATAATCTACAGTGTACTAGTCTTGTACAAATT